ATTCTTACGTTTTTGGGATCCGGACGGCCTAACCGAACCCTACTGAAGCATTGACCAGACGGGTGGCAAATAATACTCAAAGCTGCCGTTAGCAGCCCTCGCGAACAATTGGGCGGAGGAGGAAGTGATGTTAGATGCAAGGATAGCCTACGCAGAAGAGGGCAGCCGTTGGAGGGAAAGCTTCCAAACGTTGTGACATTATGATTATGTCCGTCTACTAACTTCCGTAGACGCCTAAGAAGCCGCGTAAGCTTCCTGTCGCCAAAATATTCTTCGGAAATCAAGTCCTGCTAGGGTCTTCAGTTGATAGGAAGATGCGAGGGAGGAAGGTCTCCTTTAGAGCGGTATGCGGGACGTCTGTTGACCGGCCGTTTATAATTTCCTATAGATCAGTGGTAACTTCCATGGCCAAAGCAACCACGACATAATGGAATTTTGTGATCGCCCTTTCTATCCCTTGCAAGGCAAGACGGACTTCCACTGTGCCGAAGCGCTGAGCCAGACGCCTGGCATCGCGAATGAGGTCATCGGGGACCGGGGGACTCGCTGGTCATGATTACGCGATGTCGGTCAGAGGTCACACAATTAGGCTAGATGACCTGCGCGTTGACGCTGAGAGTTGAATACAGTGCTGGTATTAGTTGAAAAGTTAAGGCAGCGTAAACAGTAAACAATATGACCAATAAAAAGTAGGGAGGGGATAGATATGAGTGGAAATTGGTAGGTACAGAAAGGAAGCGGAAGGCTTGTCAGACAAGAGTAAGTCACCAATATAGTATACGCACTGGCCATCCTTTGGCGTATACGTTGATGTTCATAGGCTATTTCAGCGAGTAAAATGAAAAGGAGCATATTAACCAAGAGGAGGGAGTTTGTGTCGAATTTTTTTGTTAATGTTGTACCTAAGTTTGCAGGCATCTTTTAGCTCACAAGCAAAACGCTTTTGTATCACTTCAAAGGCGACCCCCTGTTAATTTGCGTATAGCCAAAGGCCTTCGGTAATGCTTTTATATTTACAAGGCGACCTCAGTCGTATGTTATTTCTGAAAAGGTAAACGTACGGAATGCGACCCCTACGATTGCAATACGCGAAGTGCTCTTTCCCTTTGCAGCAATCCATGTAAACATTTGCATCTTCATGCTCACTCTTCATTCCTTCCCTGCTAATCCGTCTGGGTTGCCAAATGACTGACCAGGGCTCTTGCTTGAGTGGCCAGACTATACAGAAATGTAAACAGGAAGTGAGGTCTACTATTCAAAAATTAAATGACAAGTAAATTAATCCCCATATTTGGCCGGGGTAAAACATGTACTTAAAATTCAGCACAGTTCTTGAGAAGCGATTACGCGAGGCTCTGCCAAAACACCTTCAAAGTAATCGTATTTTGGTGTTTGACTGCCATAAGACCTGCGTGGACGGTAAGAAGTGGAGGTTTAAGAACAACCGAGCATGTTCTGCGTCTTTTTGCTGTCTTGAATGCCGCTGTAAAGGTATACACTTTTTCGCGATTTTTGACGACCAGACTTACTCTGTTTAGTTAATTTGAACACGTTGAACTCAGACAAAGTCGCACATAGCGTGTTTCGCTGAAAGTTTACTGCAGTTTATTTGCAGCTAGTCTTTTCTTCCCCTGGATTTAAGGAGCCGTCAGAATTCTCATGGAGCAAAACAACATCGATTTCAGACAGCTGATCGCCGGAAAGCTTTCATTGACGGATCTGGAAAAAGTGCAAGACCAGATAACACTTGAGGAAGTCCACTTTCCCTCCTTCATGACACCTTTCAGTGCGTACCAAGCACAGTTGCGCGAAATCGCACGTATAAATGGCTTATCTATTTCACCAAAGCGAGAAACAATCATAAAAGAAACGGAATCTTCCCAACAACCTCAGTCTACGGAAGCAAAGAAGGAGTTGAGTCGAAACGGTTTGGTGGGACAAAGTCGCGATCGACAGGTAAGAATTCTCTTGAGCCTACATCAATCACGCCATTGTCCCTTTTCTAGGATCCAAAAGTGAGGAATTTCCCTTCTAGACCTACGTATATATGTGTATGAGTTGCTTACGTATTATACGCGTATGTATCTAATGGGGCGCTCCATTATCTACATATGCGACTCCTTGTGAGGGCTCTAAACTGAGTCTCAATGCACAATGGAACGCGCGTGTCCTATAAACTGATGGGCGAGTGGCCTCCTATAATTATCTACTTAGGCATCTGATATTTGCGTCATAATAGTTTTGGCAACTGGGGGTGTAAAGGAACCTATCCCTCTGAACACAGAGAATCTAGCTTATTAGACTCAGTTTCACTAACGAGGTAGCTTTTAACGCTGTTTAACCACAGAGTCCTTCCTGGTGAAAGAAAAATATTTTCATCCTTTTCAGTGTTATCTAGTGATATTTGAGTTTGTGAGAGCGTGACGCTTATCGATCTGAGCTACTTTCGTGACAGAATTTACGGGTTTCATTTTAATCCGACGCCCAAGCAAGGCATTGACAGGATATCGCGCGGAAAAAAAGACATTGAAATTGAAGCTAAGGTCACGCGAAATTAGTTTAGTCCAGCAGATATTAATTGTAGGACGCAAATCAGTAATCCTCTTTTGCATTGTTTACAACTGTTCACACGACGTAAAGCTATAGATAATCAAGCAATATTACTGATAAGTACAAAGAAAGCTGAAATTACCACAATCGATCGAGTTGCTGTCGTCAGGCCGTCATGCCTCTGTTCAGCGCCGAAAACTAAGCCAGAATTGGCCATTCCATTTCGGTTTCCCGGCGTAAAACACGATAGGACTACAAAAATGCTTAGGGGCGAACAACTTAAGGAGAGGCGGTCTCTGCAGACTGGCTGAAGACGGTAAGTAAACTGCGGTTGACCCCTCCTGTCTCCTCGTTTTGTGCTCATGCATCTTTTTAAATAGATTACTTTATAATGGTGGAGGGCGCACACCGCTCACATTACGCAACTTACTCGTCCCTTTTTGCCTTGGCACTCTCTCCCGGGCTCAGTCAGCAGCCGCACAGCGGCGCGTCATATAGGAAGAATGACGTTACTGATAAAGACAAGGGAGATTGGAATGGCCATTTCTGGTTTATTGGTCGTCGTTAACCAAACACGCACGACCTGAGGTATGTAACCCTCCACACGACGAGTTCGTGGCTCAGTAGTCAGGACTTTTGAATTCTAGTCAACAGGTTGCGAGTTTGAACCATGGCGGTTGCATACCTCGAGGTTGGCTATGATTGGTTGGTGGTGACTAACAAGGCAGGAATAGTCATCCAAGTTTCCCTTGTCTTTGTTGGTAATGTTATTCTACCGATCATTCTGTGTCTTTAAAAACAAATAGTTTAAAAAAATCATGACAGTTTTCATCAGTGACTGGCTTTTGTGCACACGGAAAACAGTTTAAAGCAACAGCTCCTAAATCCTGCGATAAAAAGCACATAAGGAGAGAAAAAAATCCAACGACGGAAAAATGACTCACACAGGACTGCGATTTTCGAACGTTGTAAAATGAGCATTCCCAAGAGTGTCAACGGTCAAGCGGTTTTGAACTGCCAAATAAATTTGGAGACGTTGCCCTTTAATATAACTAAACTTATTTGGCATGCCGAACCAAGAACTTTTACCTGGAAGCCCATGCTGAGGACTCTCAGGGTTTATTCGCTGCAACATCTTCCTTTAGTTCATCTAGTATGCCAATACACACTGTAGTTTCGACCACAGACTGGCAGAAAAGCTCGTAGCCGTGTGGTTTTGATGTATAATTAGAAAACACGCGTGTGTGATGAGCAAAGATCGCATAAAATTTGACTACCACAGGTGTGTACTAAACGAACTGAAAAAAACCGTTAAATGTATTTGCCTAATATTCTGAGTTTCCGTTTTGGAAAAACATAGCGGTATTGTCTTCAATATTTGACGACCACTGTATAAT